CTAGATTACTGCAGTATCTGAAAATAAATCAAGTCTCTTGACTCCTTTTTATTATATTTTATAACTATAATTTAACAATTTTCTGTAAAATATTTTCATTTCAGAGACTAGATGTTAGTCTAGGGGGTAGACACCACAGCCTCATATGCCATGTGTTTGTACCTGTACTGGCTATGACTAAATGATGTGATATATAGTGTTTGTTGTTTAACGCCGCACTCAGCAATATTCCAGCTATATGACGGTGGTCTGTAAATAATTGAGTCGGGACCAGACAATCCAGTGATTGACATCATGAGCATCGATCCACGCAATTGGGATACGATGACATGCATCAACCAAATCAGCAGCCTGACCACCCGATCCCGTTAGTCGCCTTTTACGGCAAGCATGCATGAGTTGCTGACCTATTCTACCCCGGATCTTCACGGGTCCTATGTCTAAATGATCTCTTGGACTTGAAATAATTCGTGACATAGTGAGTGAATATGGTTTTACTCCGCGTTTAGCACCATTTCAGCAACATCACAGCGGGGGACTTCAGCAATGGGCTTCACATATTGTACCCATATGGAGAATCGAACCTTCGGCGTTACGAGCGAACGCTTTAACCACCAGACTACATCGCCGCCCTTTCAGACCCCCATTACATGAGTGAGTAAGGTTTTGTGTTGCGTTTGAGCAACATTACCCCAAGAACAATAATGAGCAATAGCAAAGATACAGGGGCTAGATGCAACTATCGATCAATACCCAAAGACTACAAGACCTAAAGTAACACATGACCCAAAAACATCACAACGGACGTCACCTTCTGCACACGACACCAGCCTTATCTATCATTTACCAAGTGTAGAAAAGAAATCCACGTCCAAACTGGTGCGGAAATGTAAAACCTCGATTTGTGATTATGCAGCGGGTTTTTTTAACGCTAGCTTTCTCCAAACAGGTTCTATTGTTATACTGTCATGATATTACCAGGTTGTGAAGTTACAGACTAACGTTACGTGATGCAAGGTGTGCGGGAATGGCTCGTTCACCTTTAGAACGGAGTTGTTTATTTCAGTTAACATATATATAGGATGGGCTACTCTACTGTGAGACACTCGACACTGTATTTGACGTATGCTAGGTTAACAAGATACACATAAACGGTACGTAGGATATCGTGTAATGTAAAGTACTGTCGTTCTTTGTACATTAAATTACTAACGACATTGTCGTCACAGGTTACACGATAGAGTCCTTTTAGGTCGCTTTGTGTCTATTTTAGTTATAATGATGGATATTATAGGGAGTTTGTATGTCATGGCTTCATTCATTAATATTTACCACTGCAGTAGGTGCGACAATACAAATTAATACTGATATATATTGCAATCAAATATGTGAAGCTCGCTCACTCACTCACTCGCTCACTCGCTCATCCACCAATCTATTCACTCACTCACTTACACACTCACCCACCCATACCACCCACTTGGTCGCTCACTCAAAACTGACTCATTCACTCACCTATCCACGCACTCATCGACTCACTCACCGACTCACCCATCCACGATCTTCCCGAGGTAAGGGAGTTAACTGACTGTAAAAGTCCAGTATCCACCCTTGCCGAACGAGGCCGATATTCCGGAGTTACATTTTGGCTGGACTAACGAGTCTACGTATAGTCCAATCAAAATCGCGCATCGAACCAGACATCCGGTTCGTAAACAACATAAAATTCAACGTGCAGATTTCGATCGACTGCAGGATTTGTAAAGCATGTGTACCGTCAACTTGGCATCAACAGATATTTTGCAAATCTGTTCATGTTATTTTTCAAGGTGATCAAATGATTTGATGCACATCGCGAGGCAGGACCAATCTTATTACAGTATAGATCTTGATTATCGATCAGATCGTCTTGACTCGCCGCCATTTTGTTTAAAGCAAATACAAGTGATATGAGAGGTGGAATCTGATTAGTCAATAGGAGGGCCATAGAAGGGACATAACTCGTAATAGCCACGATCGAGCCAGGAAATTCCAGCGTTGTTCGGCAAGGATGGAAACTGGACTTTTATAGTCAGTTAACTCCCTTTCCTCGGGCCGATACCATCCACGTATTCACTCTCACTCCCCATCTAGCATCTCTCAAGTGATTATGTCACACCTGACAAAAGAATCAAAAGAATCAGTCCATGCAGAAATGACTTCATTTTTGGAATTAATTTTGTATGGATATCGGCAACACTCTGTCAGATAGTTAAGATTTTACTTCTTTGCATTTCTTTTTTTGCAAGGTATATATAAAAGGCCGCCGTCATATCGTGTGTATAACATAACATTGAAACACTAATAGAGTAACCCAACTCTCTCACTCATGCATAATATACATTCATATCACGAAAAATGTCCATGATAATTTAGAGTTTCGCTTACCTGTTATCTTGTCCGAAACATTTAAATGAAATAAATTATTATATCTAATCGATGAGGGGCGAATTTAGGTGACACGTGACACCGCCATCCCCTTCTGGTACGTACCAGTTTACAGCCATGCGTATTTACCATGGCATAGCCATCTTAGTACATGTATCTATGTATATCCGTCACCTATCTTTACAGTAAACATAATTACTATAGATCCGTGTAAATTGTCTCGTGAGATTTTGTAAAGTTTACGGTAAGATTGATAGTATTGCCGCGCTCATTCCTGTCTACATGACACAAGATTTTGTGGATTTCCGTGTGTTCGTTTCAGATTCAAATCGTCAGGAAATGCTCATGAATATGTGAAACACGGAACTGGCCAAGAAACGCCGTGTTCATGATTTCATGATCTGCCCCGTTAATCCACATGTGGAGTGTACCCGTGAAGATCCGGGGTAGAATAGGTCTTCAGCAACCCATTCTTGCCGTAAAAGGCGACAATGCTTGTCGAAAGTTGCGACGGAGGGGATCGGGTGGTCAGGCTCGCTGACTTGGTTGAAGCATGTCCTTGCGTGGATCAATGCTCATGATGTCAATCACTGGATTGTCTGGTCCAGACTCGATTATTTACAGACCGCCGTCATATATCTGGAATATTGCTGAGTACGGCGTAAAACAACAAACCAACCACAAGTAGAGTGATTGAGTGAGCGTTGAGAGTTTGAGTGAGTGAGTGAGAGAGTGGACCTATTTCACGTCGCAAGAAGGCTCCATATAGCCACTGCCACCGCGGCCTGATAGACCATTGGTCTATAGCGTCAATACCCATCAATATACAATGCATCCGCTCAAACAAGAAGTTTTAATGGACACCCAATGGTGTGTGTGTGTGTGTGTGTGTGTGTGTGTGTGTGTTGGTGTGTTGGTGTGGAGGGGGGGGGGGGGGGGGGGGGGGGGGGGCATGCGTGCGTGCTGCATGCGTACTAATCACCTCCGACTATTAGAAAACATATAGGAAATCTACTGGGTACTGAATACTCTTATTATTCAAACGCTAATATCTCTGATACTGGTTGAAAGCGACGGTTGCCATGCACAGTTTCAGGACCAAGCAATACTGTACAACAAATGATTTAACTGCCGGTTGCACCTTTTCTGCATAACAGAATCCAAATTCACGAGCTTAATAAATGTAATCCGTCAAATGTAGGGCGTGTATCATGTGTTTTGTATAAGTAGACATGAGTGATACGCCTGGCTGGTAGGATGTGAAGTACCCTAAAAATAATATATAATGTACTGTTACATACAGATTATTCATACTTATCAGGGAAACATATGTAAATCATGGTGTGAAACAGGGAAGTTTATGAAAATTAGAACGCTGATGTGTATACATATATATGCTTGCAGGTGAATAGGCGGTCTACCTTCCTGTTTATTCTGTTTATTCAAGTATATTTTGGACATATCTTTCCTGTTGTTCGTGGCAACACATACGTGTATATTGCGTGATGTACAATATTTTTCAACGCAACTCCAATGTAAATGACATTCCTAGAAGCATACTTTGTCGACATACATCTTAATACATTGTCACAGTAAATATGCCATGTGGTATTAATCTGTCTGAAGAACATTTCTTAATACCGTGCTTGTCGACCTTAATTCACATAAAAGAGGAGATATGTCGATGTGAGGAATAGATGCACGCAAATTACTTGACCGATGTCGACAATAATAATAATAATAATAATAATAATAATAATAATAATAATAATAATAATAATTCCAGTGCCTTGTGTTAACAATTGTGTACATTATGAGCACAAACATAATTCACACCGGACCATAACAGGCCTTAAAGACACCTCAAGTCTAAAATGCATATTAAGACATTTGCAAATTTAACATATATAACAATTTAAAAAAAATTATAGCAATTTTAAATACAGACAGACAGACAGACCGAGAGACAAAAATGACATTATTGGGATTTTGTTTAAATGCTCATGAAGATCAATAATTCATGGCGTCACTTGTCACATACCGTGTACTCAGAAACAGTCATGCATAGATCATATCATCAACACATTTTAACAGTATGTGTATTTATAAAGGTGTGTTCCTGATATGCATGACATGAATTGCAGATATATAGAGTTGTTTCTGAAACGACAAAGTTTGCATTATTACACTTTTCTTGTTTAAAGTAAAGTTGTTTTTAGTGTAAAATTAAGATTATATATTTACACATGGATTATACAAAGGCCTAAACTATATCTTCTGCATATGTAAAATTAGTGGTTTGAATACAATCACATCTGAGAAAAGTCACTATTTTCAGCTTTGTGACGAAAGCATGTGTTGTTGCAATTAATAAATACACATTCTCAATAAAACCAATTTATGCATAACTGTTACTCAAGTCTTATAAAATATATAAAAATATTTTAACATGCTCACACATTTCGATTAGATTATATATTCATTTATTTTATTGACGTTTCCAAACTTTCGCTTTGGTTGTCACATGATTTCGGCAGAGCCTTCGAAAGCCATGTGACCTAAATAGACCAATCATCTTCCTTGTTTAGTGTTGAGGCGATCGAGTACGTCGATAATAGAGTATCAACCTTCCCTGGGGTACAGGTCGCCGCTAGACATGCCAAATAAGACTAAGAAAGAAAAGGTATGTCAAATTCTACCCCCCTAGAAGCTTACTGCACTAAATGGATGAAGTTTTAGGTGCCGATCACGCAAATGATGGCTGTATTCACGCATATTACGGTTGTCAAAATTTGAAGGAGGGGGTAGGTTGTTAGGCATTCATTTGGATATCCGTGCTTCTAACATGTCATTTGATATTTCAGACGACAACCAAGACAACGGGAAGTTCCAAAGCTGGCGGAAAAGAGGGATCAGAGAATGCGGAAAATGAGGTAGGGATGTCTGTTTAGTGACTCGATGTTGATCACTGTTTTGCAGTAGGCAGCCATATTGACATGGATATCCAAGATGGCGGCCAACTTTTCTGAAACCGAGAGCCATGAAGATAATCGACTCCGTTTGCCAATGAATGCAGTTGAATGATCTATTACAACACATTTTATCGCGAATGAGACAGTATAAGTCATGTTCCCTTTACAGGCTGCCAAAAAGAAAGCTCAGCAGAATAATGACACCCATCCACCTCCAGCCCAAATAAACAAGATCAAGTTCACAGGACCCCCTCACGTGAAAAAGGACAAAAGACAAAACTCTTCACGATTCAATGTTTCCAAAAACAGAGAACTGCAGAAGTTGCCACCTCTCAAAGGTAAGTTACTGTCACATTGATTGCACTACACACTAGTTCTAAATCTCATTCAATGTGTGTGTTGTCACCAATGCTGTGATACGTTACCAAGAATATACATTCTGGAAACTTTGATGTCCTGGTACCAGCACTAGCCTAATAGATAGTCAATTATTTAGACAGTATTTAGAGGTTATTATGTTAATGTCTTGGTCTGCCTAAAAGTATTTTATACAAGTGGCAACCCATAGCAGATAGACTATGTCCCCAAAAACTGTTTTGCTATTAGCGTGTGTTCTCAATGTTTTCTGCTTGATCTATTGCAGTGTACAGCGATAGAAACCTAACATTTTTAGTCCACTAGTCCTTATAATGATCACATTATAGCCAAACCCTTAAAAATGGCAAATTTCTACTAGTCCTTGTTTCCTTAACTATTGGGCAGTTTCTCAAGGACTACGAGTCTAGTGCCAATTTCTAACGCTTGGGTAGCTATTATATTTTATATAAAGCTGCTATATCATTCTTCAAAGATATCTAATGTACAATTTGTACAGCATGTACTGTGTGAAGTGACCCCATGACCGTCTGCTGCAAATTATGGAACTAGTCTATGTGATGAGGGTTTCTTTGCAGTGTTTAACACTTTTTACATCAGAATGGTCAGTAGGGAACAAACTTTCCCTGTGTGGACACGGCAGTGAGTGGCCACCAAAATAATTTTCTTGATTAAATCTGTGAAAACTAGAAATGAGAGTAGATGAAATATTTCCCATTCCTATTAGTGTATTTTGTCATTCTGCAAGAAATATCTACTCACTATGAAAATGGGTAAATTGGCAGGTTTCTTTATGATCATAGAAGGTAGAATCATTCAGATACAAACATATGGATCCATGTTTTTCATTTTTTCCATCACACCTTCAAGCCACAAATTGCGTAAATGAGTAAAATTCATTGTTGACCTTATTTTCTATACACATTTAAGCCAAGGTTTGAATCATGGTTGTTGATCAAATCAAATATACAACGTTTGAAATTGGTACAGGTCCTGTGGTCCTTGCCAAACTGCCCCAAAATTAGGGTATCATAAGGACAAGTAGAAATTTGCCATTTTTAAGGGGTTAGCTATATGGTATCTTTATAAGTACTAGTGGACTAAAACGGTTAGTTTCTACCTCACAATTTGCTTTGTATTCGATGCAGAATGGGATCCCAGTATTTCATCCTTGTTACAGGAGCTGGCATAGATTGGGTTAAGTCATTTCAGATGTTGTGTTTTTTTAACCTAACTGACCCTGGGATAGAGTTTGGGTCAAGTCACCTTTTGTTATAATAATGAAAATAGATAGACCTTTTGATGATTCATATGTAAAAAACATAAAAGTATATGATACCTAATCTATAAGGTTTTAGGTCAATTACATTTTCTAGGACAGAGGCAGATTGTCATCCAAAATGTTCTGAAGATTTTGATCAGTTCAAATTCAGTTACTATTTTGATCCTCCAAGTGATTGACAGGTGTTAAGGGTAGTCATATATCTGCTGTAACCATGTTCTGATACCCATGGAGATGTTAATTACTAAGATTGTCACACCAACATGGTTGATTTCACGTCAAGTGTATTGACATGTGTACTCGACCACGGTCGTGTGTCAAGTCACTCTGAAGGGATTACTTTGTGTTGTTTATTACTGGTGTATTGTTGACACTTAAGGTAATTATGCTCCTTTGTGATATCCATACTCTCTTATTCTGATGGGAAGGAGTATTAACCTCCTTTTCAACATCAATGTTCCTGCTCGGAAATAAAGAAGCACATTCAGTATTAATTTATTATTTGCAAAACCAATTTTCGACAGTTCTGTGTATTGGTCATGTAACTTTGTTTCAAGTTTCATGTAAGCTTACAAGCATAGCATGAGGTCCATCTCTGAAACTTTAGGGCTTGTCATGTTCAACTTTGCCTGATGGATGCCAGAAACAGTAACTCCAGAGCAATTTTTATCATTGCGGCCATGTTAGCCTTATTGAAGATATGTTTATCCCATTAGGCATTATTACTTGGCTACACAGCATGCATCAACTGAATCATTGTGAAATTACATCAGTACATAGTGTGTTGTCAGGGATTTATCTACACTAAATCTAAAGTACAAATCCCAAATTGGGGTTGAGAAATGAATATTTCATGTTATCATAGATAAAAATAGTGTTATGGCCTTGTAGAAGTGATTTTCAAGAAGTTTACTAATGTCCATTGCACAACCTTTGAAGGTTTTAGCCTATTAAAAATGGTGATTTCAATGAAAATCTGTCGTCGACACACACAACTCTTACTACAATAGAAATGTCTCTTGTGTGCAACAAGCAATCTACATTTTTTGTTAGTTTAATGATTCAATCAGCCATCTCATGTGGAGGCCACAGGACTTGCAGTGTAACTTATGCATCCATTCTCACTATGTGTATTTGTAAAAGTTACAAACACCCTTGATCATCCCTTAAACTAATGAGTATATGCCCCTCTAATGATTCCAGGTCAGAATTGGTTCCCTGCAACCTATGCTTGTTGTAGCTGGTGACTAAATGGATCTTGTGGTCGGACTCAGTGACTTGGTCTATTGCGTGTCATCGTTCCCTGACGCTATGGATTGTTACATGCAATATTGATCATTGGATTGTCTGGTCCAGACGTGATTATTTACAGACCGCTGTTATATAGCTGGAATATTGCTGAATGTGGGGTTAAACAAAAACACACAAAAATGATGTTCATTAACTGCCTGGGTGTTGGAAATTCACTGTTGATATAGTGCTTATTGATCCTCTAATAATGATAATGTTGATATTCTACCAGTGACTTCCATGGTGATTATCATGGCTTGAGCTCATCTATGCACCGATCAGCTAGTGCTCACATGGGTTTGTATGAACCTTTCAAGTGGAACCTCATGAATGATTAAGTTTGAATCAAGTGATCATCAAAATTGGTCAACATACAATTCAGTGTTTGGAATTGAGGGAGTCCTTGCGGTCTTATTCTATTGTGTTTGTATCTAGGGACCCCCCAAATTCTAAACTTTTTCAGATTAAGGTTATGACAAGGACCCTTAACTTTCATGCTTAATTAGAACACTGCATTTATTAATTCATTATGATTGTTTTGATTTTAGTCAGTGTGGATATTATATGGTGCTGGGTAGATTTTTAAAGTTCTATTGCTCAATTCCACTCTGAGGTTATGTCCAAAATGAGTGGTCACCAGATCAATGATCCATCAATAATGGCATTTACAAAGATCGTTTCATGCATTACCTTTGAGTGCTAGATTGCAGGAATGAGAAATGATAGCTGTGAGTGTGATTACACATACTTAGCATTGCTGATTGAACCTATTTGGCCAGGTTACTATAGGCAACTGATTGGCAGCACAACTTGGCTCTTCAAGATCAAGGGTTTCACAGATTTGCAATTTTCAAGAGTTTTCCAACTACATGTTGTGTTATGTATATGTATCAGTGGTGTGAATCTTGTGGACTTTTTATATGATGTTGCTGTTCCAGCAGTTATGGTTTTTAAGGTCTACAAGTATTGACTAAACAAATAGTATATGTAAGAACCAGGTTAAATATGATTGATACTCTAACTCATGTGTTAATCCTGTCATCAACATATCCGTATGCATAAGAATTGGAGGTTGAGTCAGATCCTTGAACATAATTAAATGTTTGATATTATAATTTAACTTTGCACTAATATGACAAAGTTGGGGGTCTGTTGATGCTCTTATTTTACAATGATACAGTTTATAATGGGCTGAGAAATTGCAATGCATAAATAATGAGTGGGTCATTCTGTAGAAAGTGCCATCCCATGAAGACCTGGGTTAGAATTGATCTTCAGTAACCCATGCTTCTCGTAAGAGGTGATTAACGGGATAGGGTGGTCAGGCTTGTTCGATGCATGTCACCGTACCCTATCCCTAATGCGTAGATCGATGCTCATGATGCCAATTACTGGATTGTCTGGTCCACGCTTGATTATTTACAGCCTAGCGTCATATAGCTTGAATATTGCTGAGTGAAGCATGAAACAAACAAATCTTTTGCTCAGATAAGATACCTCTCTGCATTAAGATCTAAAGTCACTTCCATGAAAGGTCTTTGTCTGCCCTATTTAAATGAAGGATGTGTGGCCAATCAGATGTCAGCTTTCTAAAACAACTTGGCTTAATTCTTTCCCATCTTGACTTAAAAGTTATGATTTTTACAAATGAGAATGGTACTCCTTTTTTGACTGCAGATTCCATGGTGCGCAGAAAAGGCAGGATGTCTAAAATATCCACACCTATATCAGGGATTGACTAAGGTCGCTATTCAGCGATATACTCGCATAGTTGTCGTAGATATCGCATCAACATTCAATCAGCACGATCACGGGTGGAAACTAACATTTTTAGTCCGCTAGTCCTTATAATGATAACATATAGCAAAACCCTTAATAATGGCAAATTTCTACTCGTCCTTAGGACACCTTAACTATTGGGCAGTTTGGCAAGGACTACAGGACTAGTGCCAATTTCTGTTGCTGGTGATTGAAAATCACGTAGATCTTTCAATAGTTTTAACTGCATTAGCACTCTCATTTTCACCTAGAAAAATACAAACTTTCGTATTGCTTCAATGAATTTATCTACTGCACCTAAAAATGTCAGTAAAAAACTTTCACAAATGTCAACAGTCTTTTCAACTTTCGTTTACCTGTAAACGTTTTCTGGCTGCTGTACATGGCAAACATGCCGCCTTCTATGTGAAATAAATGACTTAATTGTTTCTTATTAAACAAGAGGGTGAACCTGGAGCAATAGTCATTGTGTAATGAACTGTCACTTCTTATTAATGGAAAAATCCATATTGATAAGATTTCATTTGTTACGGTCAGAGACCCTGCCTCTGATATGGTACACACTTCAGACGGAAATAAGACCGTGAAATTGGCGAAAGCACTGGCATGTAA